GGGGGGGGGGGGGGGGGTGACGAATATAGGTAAACGTAAGAAAACTGCGGGGAAATAGTGCGCGTGCAGTCTCTTCGTTCTGTGCTTTCTCCTTCACCATTGGTCGCAGAAAGGCTAGAAGTCGGTAATGTGGTTTGGGTAAAGGATTGAAGTAGCGGAGGTAGGGCTGTGGGAAGGCCTCCGAGACGATGGAGTATCTGGCATCGGTACGCCAACAAATGGAGCGTGCTGAGTTCGATGCAGGCCTTCATACATTCCTCTCTCCCCTCTACTATATATATATTTTTTAAAGACCCCTCTCGTACACACGCGACCCACTTCTGTACGCAATTCATTTTACCACCCTATGACATTTTGCATTGTCACGCCGAATGGTGTTCCACGTACATACCCGTCAACTACACCATGAATTTTCAGTCATTTTTAATTCCTGTCCTCCGGGTTTAGCGCCGTTTTTTTAACTTTTTGATTCATTGTTTTTTTGGGTGATTTTTGCGCTGAGAGATGAAATTAGTTCTGTGATAATGTGGCGGGTTTCTTGCACGGAGAGAAATATTCAGTAAAAATTACGGAACAATTCACGTAATCCGCAATGGGGAATCGTTCTCCGGCAATTTTTATGGGAATGGAAGAGAAGAAATCTGAAATGTTCAGTGAATTTTCAGGTTCATCACCGAACAAAGTACGAAGTAGTCACGTAATTTTTTCCGAAGAAGTAAAATCTTACAGAAACTTGCCGACTTATTGTGCCTCCAAAATCAAAAATTCTTGAACGGCTGCTTTCCGCACTAGTTACGTAATGTACTATTCTTCCTCGTCAATGTTCATTGGAAGAAAAATTAGCTCTGTCAAAAAACTACAGATTTACTTGAGGGAAATTAACTAACTTGATGGACGACAATTTAAGATGTTTCTAAAAAATTAAATTTTTGTAATAATCACAATTTTGTGAAAGAATACACAGAGAGAAAAAAATTAGTTGAGAGAGCAAAAAATTATAGATTAGCCTGAAGACATCTTTTGTCGTGTTAATCTACTCAACTCCACCAAATATACCCACATGTAACGCATAATTTTTCGGTATTACTAATTTATTTCTCTCACTGCGTTTTTTCACACCAGCAGTTGCGGAAAATGATTGACGAGCTGATGCAATTTTCGTATTTTCTGGAATTTCAATTTCAATTGCCATTTGCAATACTTCTGGCCGTTCCAATTTTTATCACTTCGAGAGGATCTGGTGCTGAGGGGTATGAAACTGCGGAATTTTATCAAATGGCGCCAGTTGCACGCAATACCCCCAGTATCGAATCTAATCATCGATGGAGTAATTGATTTTGCGTTTGTATCCGCACCCAAAACGCGTAACTACTACCGCCTCCTCCACCTCGTTCCCGCTTACCCTCTGGGCTGTTTCCAAATGGAGAGAACAATCACCGCGTCAAAGAGTAGATGAAGTCGGTGAGTGGGAGGGAGATAACGAGACGCGTGTGCGTATGAATTGGCGGGGAGGGGTAAAAATTCGCTCGTTTACTGTACACAGACGAATTCAATTTATGTTGAATGGTGACGGAAATTGCGTTACAGTATTCCCGATTTTTTTGTGGTTTCGATGCCTGGCGAAGGGAAATAACGTTTTTCAATTGTGAACATTTTTTATTTTACGTTGGGATTATTTTGCATGGAATGGGAGGGGATTTTTCATGAAACTTTCGAAAGTTTGAAGTCAGTTTATTAGGTTTAACCCTCAGGAAATATTCCTCGAAATCTACTTTTCGAGGGAGCTTCATTGAATGATTACAAAGACGTCAGTTATTTTTAGATTACATTTCGTTCAAGTAAAATTAAGTAGATTTTGACTATCGATCAGTTTTCAATGAATATCTCGCAATCTAGGGCAGATAGAAAATTTTTGTTAGTACATTTTTTGTAGCTCTCTATTCGCTCTACAAAAAAGCTCATTATGAAAATTTCGCTATCTCCCTTAGATTCGGAGATATTCCTCGAAAACTCAGCTAAGAACTAAGCCCACTTCAAACAAGAATTTTTTTTTTTCATTTTGAATATATTTTTTGTATATTCGTCTGAGTGCAAAACTTTCAACTCTGATGCATTTTCTATTCGGAAAATCGTCTTATAATTCACGTGCGATGAAAGCATGCCTTGAAACCCTCCAGTTTCAGAAAAGAAGGAGAATAAATAATTGAAAATTGTCTCAAAGTCTCTCGACACTGTTTTTTTTTCGAGTTAAAAAATTAATTGAAACGGAAAATAGAAAAGTGAGGAGAGGAAGACCCAGAAACGTGACCGGATGGCTATTTTTTTTTTTATACTTTGTACTTCTGGAGTTGAGAGGACGAGCGCTAGGAAAAACTTGGTGGTATCACACGGGAGTGAAGTGAAAGGATAAAAAAAAGAAGGGGGAGAGAAAAAGAAATCCCGACGAATGGTATGGGGTTACCCGCGGGGTCTGTCTTTTTACGACTCAATCCCTTGGGGCCAACTACGCTGTTTCTATTCTCTTTTTCGTTTTGTCACACATTTTTATTTTACTTTTTCTTGCATCTGTAGGGAATGACATATTGCTTTCATAACGATTTCACAAGTCATTTAATTATTAGGGGGAAAATACAATTTGTTCATGTCAGAATCACTGGTTATATCGATGTTTATTTGAGGCATTGACGAATTAATGATGTGGGTCTTGAATATCTTCTTTATTTGAGAAATTCACAGAGAAAAAAAGTTTCTGGTTTCTAGCACCACGATATTGACATTCGGAAACATGATAGTGAAATCAAGAATTCAGAATATCGACAAATTTGGCGAAGATGTGATAGTGATGTGATAGTACTTCTCATGGGAGTGAGATTGAATCGGATTTAGGGGAAAATGGTTATGAAATTTCAAATTTTAGGGAGAATTCAAGGAAATGCTGAGTTTTCAGTGGGAGTGAGATAGGAATTCCACAACTTGATTGAATTTTTAATGGAACATGAATATTCAGAAACAAAATGACATGAAATTTCAATTTTTTCCTGAATAATTGAATTGAAAAATCAAGTATTTTATTTATTTAATTTTTTTGTTCATTCATTTTGTTTTATTTTATTTATTTTTTAATGACAAAATTTCTTGAAATTTCAGTGGAAAGTAAACACGATACTCACATTCGTGATTTGGCACAGTGTATTCTATGAAATCCTCTTCAAAAGTTAATTATCCAGTTTTCCAGATTTTCAAATTATTTTCTAATCGTTGAAAAAAAAGAGTAAAATTCAGAGCTTCAGAATTTAGATAATAAAATAATTGCAAAATGTTGAAATACTTTACATTAACTGTGGAAAGATGTTTAGAAACAGCATAAACGGTTGCCAAATTTGTTAAGATATCTAAAAAAATTATTCTCAAAGCGAACAATCAATTCATAAATGAATTAATAAATTGTTCAGAAGCATAAAAAATGTTGAAAGAAAACATGAAATTTCATGGACTCTGTTTTTCCTCAAATTTAATTCCCATAAATTGTCGTTATTTTTCAAATGGCAAGAGTTATTGTTCCTCCTCCGATGAAAATCCCCGAATAAAAGAATCTTGTGCTCTCCAAGCCACCAGTGATTTATCTTTTATCCTCAAGCACGGATGACCGGTGATGAATTTTTTATCATGCAAAATCAAATGCCCAAACTGTCGTACTAAACTGCATAACTGGGGATTCAAAGTGGTTGAAGGTAATTTCCAAAGTTGGGCCGAAATTACGTCATTTGCTTGGCCGTTCACGTCGTCAAGTGGGGAAACGATATAAATACAGAACTACCAGGATTATACACAGGGGTTGGCTCTCCCTCTTCTCTCGCACGCCACGGGGGTCGGACGGGGAGGGAGAGGAAGAGACACGGGGAGAGGAGAGGAAGCT